GACAGAAGCAAAGCCGCCCAGGCGGCAGGGGTCCCGCCGCCTGGGCGGCTTTGCTCCCGGGCAAACGAGCAAAGCCACCCAGGCGGCGGCTTTGCTCGGGTGTCCCTGGTCTGCTGGGGGGTCCAGCGGCTTTGCTGGACCCCCCCAGCAGACCAGGGAGACCGGGAGAAGCTTTTCTCACCCCGGAAGACACATAAGTTGGATCCGCGTAAGTCGGGGACTGCCGGTACCAATCTGACACAGGCATGTGACTAGTCGACCAGACTTGACTAGGTGCTTCCTCTCTGCGCCCCTCCTCCCTCCAGCAGAGAGGCAGCAAGGAGTGGGAGCAGGAGTTGGTGCTAGGGGAGCCGCTTATAAGTTGGTTTTCTCCTCCGCGACCCCCCCCCCCCCCCTCACACTCCACCACGGGCACAAGCCGAGAATCAGCTGATTCCTGGCTCGTGCCAGGTCCCCCGCTCTGCTGTGATCTTGCTTTTTAAATGTATTGAGAGCTCTTAATACATTTAATATGCAAAGCCGCAACTGGGTTAGCTCCCAGGGTTGGGAGCTAACCATGCTGTGGCTCTGCAGTCCCCCTCCCTCCCCTCAACTAATCAACTGGTCGATTGGCTGATCAAATGCCATTTAACATCCCTAATCTGACAAGGGTTTGTATTCACTTGATGACCACTTTGTTTGAAATTGTTTTCTGTTGTGTCCCTAAATTCTTCATTTAGTATTTCACCAGATTTGAGTAAGTTACAAAGGTTACACAAAAGCAAATGCTTGTAATAGTAAGCAATAGGATATTTCATTAGTTTTCATTAATTGAACACCCAGACACGTTCTCACATTAACACAAACTTTAATGGAGGGCTGTTAAATGTAACTGTAATTAAAGGAGTGTATGCATTGCAAATATAACTTTTGTTCATGTATAGAAGATATAGTAAACATCCCTTTTGATCTCTATTAGCATCTGAGTGAAATAGTTTGAGTTAAGGATGTCAAAATACATGTAATGAGCTGTT